TTTTCATAGATGATAATCTCACATTTCTTCGAAAGATCTCTAAGAGGACAAACTGCTCAGTGTCTTCTTTTAAAGGAAACAGAAAAGGAATACATTGAACGTCTGATAATAAAATATACTCAAATTAGAACTGCAGTTCATCATATGGATACTTTGCCCAGAGTATACTCTAAAATCAAATTTATTATTTTGAGTTTTGTTGTGTATATATACTTTGTGATAATCTACCAACCCAGAAATCAAGACACACTGAACTAAGGTAATCATTCTGAAACCATGCACTAGAAAGACCGTAATTTTTGAAATGGACACTTAGTGCTAGAAAAATAGATAGCAGAACTTTCTGGCCACCATTCTACAAGATGATAATATGAAAAAGGCATAAGCACAAACAGCGTGAGCTATGGGCAGAATGGTGCCCTCCCTCCTTCATACTCTACCCTCCCCCAATGCGATGGTGTATAAAAGAGGATGTTTGGGGGAGGGTAGTGTTTTTGTGACTTTGGGAGATGGTTGTGTTTAAAGGCCAGCCTGAGAGCAGGGCCTTCATTATGTGATTATTTAAAGGATACTAGAGTACTCTTCATCTTTCTCTCACCTCACATATAGAAAGAAGATGGAACAAGTCCTCACTGGAGCTGAACCATGCTGGCCCCTTCATCTTTGACTTCCAAATCACAGAACTGTGAGAAATTATTTTTCTGTGTCTAAGCCATCCAATACATAAGATTGTGTTATGGCAGCTCCAATAGGCCAAAATAGTATTGAATGCTTAAAGTAAGTAGATTATACTCTAAGGAAAATTTCATTCCTTCTATAGAGTTCTAATTCACACACACACACACCATCCCCAGGCATCTGCAAGTAGATTCATCTCACAACATACAATTTTACTGAGAGGTTTTACGTTAGAGAATGTCTGAAGAAGGCTACTGTCTTCTAGTAGGGAGTGTCAGAAAGGCTATTAAATACCTGCAGCACAGAGCACAGACACTCACGCCACATGACTACAGTCTTGTCAAGTAGTTGGGAAAGTTCATTTGATATTGTTCTCTTTTGCACCAAACTCAATGGATCACTGATTAACTCTTCAAAACTCTTTTTTTTTTTAACTTCGTGTGTTTTTTCTGTTTATTTTTTGAAATAGAGTCTTACCGTGTAGCACAGGTACATTTGAACTCAAGATTCCGCCTCCATATCACTAGTACTGAGATGATAGGTTTGTACCACTGTATCTGGATTCTATTTGTTGTTTTGTTTTTTTTTAATTGATATTAGGGGATTACATAAATTTCACAAATTTCACATTATTGTGGAATAGTGATACTTAGTCACAAACACATTTTTAACCTTCACCAGGCAAACTGTTACTATCATGGTCTATAAAGTTTGTGAATTCTAGGAGGTTTGATAATACAACTATTTCTTCCACACCGGGTGATATGTACATTTCTTTCCTTTTGCTTAGTGTAAGCTGTTCCCTCTTTCCCTCTCATTCCTTCTCTCCCAACACTGCCTTTGAGTTGCTTGGTTCATGTTCATCTATGTCCAGTGCAGCTGATGGACCCCTGTGTTGTATGTTTTCCTGTTTCCCTCTGATTCTGCGTCCTCCTCCTTGCTTCCCTCTGTTGTGTGCATACATACCCCATATACGTGGTCAAGAACATAGAGTCATTTCGCAATGATATGACAAAATGAGTGGAAATCCTTTGTTTCTCCAGTCCTGTTTACTTTGTCCTGTCTTTGGCTTCTTCAAAACTCTTAAAACTATCAAGGTCCACATAATGATTGATCTTGATCGAGGATTTTATTAGATTGAGAGATACTGCAGAGATTAGTAAAATGTTTCTCTGAGCGTGTGTCTGTGAGGCATGTCCAAGGATGATTAGGTACTTAGGGCTCTGAATCAATCAATACTTTAACCATTCCTTGAATAAAAAGCCAGGCACTGATGGCTCACACCTGTAATCCTAGCTACTCAGGAGGCTGAGATCTGAGGATCCATCAAGGTTTAAACCAGGGAAGTAAGACTCTTATTTCTAAGTAACCACCAGAAAATTGGAAGTCACACTGTGGCTCAAAGTGGTAGAGTGCTAGCCTTGAGTGACAGGGCTCAGGGACAGCACCCAGGTCCTGAGTTCAAGCCCCATGACCAATAAAAAAAAACAAAACAACAACAAGGACTAGACTAATGGAAAGGTATAACTGAGTGGTAGGGCCTAGCTGGAGGAAGAGGATGGCTTGGGATGAGCAGTTCCAGGGTGTTTCTTGATCTGGGGCCCCTCCCATTTCTTCTTTGCTCTTTGTCTCCAGGCTGGCATGATGATGGGCAATTTTCCTCAGCAGTGTTCTTCCTCCATGCTGTCTGCCTGGCCTAAAAGCATTAGATTCCCTCAGAACTATTAACTGAAACCACGGAATTGATGTGGCCAAGTTAATCTTTCCTCCTTGAAATTGCCTTTCTCAGTTATTTGGCACAATGACAAAAAGTTTGAGAAGCTTCTTGAGTTACATAAAGTTAAATAATTATAAAAAGAAGTAAGAACATTTTGGATTACTGAGTGTAAATCTTTCCTTATGATTTCATGACAATTCTTTGTACAGTATATAGACATATGAAGGCTACCCTGCTTATGAGAATAGCAATGGTCAGGAAATGAAAAGACCATGATAACTAGTTCTAAAGGTTCTGAATAGAGATTATAATAGGCAACAGCAAAACTAGTTTCCAAAATTATTTAAATGTTTCAAGTGTAAAGTCAAAATGGAATGTTTAACCTCCATCTTGACAAAGTGTCATAACTCATTTAGTTATCACCAGGATTGGAAACAGAACCACCAGTTTTCATAGACCACAATTCTTTGTAGCCCTGGGTGATCGCTCACCCATGTGGATGCTCTAAATTCAGCTACAGTTTCATTTTTTCCTTTGAACAATGTTCTTTTTTTCTTAAATATTTAAATCATGGCTGATGTTTTCCTTCTTAGTGACAGTTCTCTCTAACAGAAAAACTATTTTCAAAAGGTGAGATTTTTTCCCCCCTTTGGTGAAAATTTCAAGATGATTACTCAAACTACATAGTGTAACATGAATATGGAAACTTGGTTATTACATGGGAATTTTTAGAAGTTAAGTATCCAATCTGGGTAATTCCAGCTTAAAAAAGAAAAGAAAAAAAAGAATCTTCTTCTTTGTTTTTATATGTCAGACAGTATGAGATTTTTTTTGGAAGGAGGGGTGCTGAATTACTTTAATTATAGCTATGTAATACTGGCAGTGGAAGTAATAATTTTCTCTCTGATTTCACTCAACAAACGAAGGTCTCATTTCTTATTTTAAATCTGATCACAACTACTTTCGAGAAGGCTGAACTTCTTTCTCTGAGTTAATTATCCAAAATAAGCACTTTCTGGCAAAGTGAATGAATAGATACTTAGCTATGTTAAAATGGATGACTCAATGATTTAATAAATATCTACACTTAATATTTATTTAATGCAAACGTATTTTTCTATCCCATTCATATAAAGTTTGATGATATATGCCTAAAATCTATATTAAACAAATGAAAATGTTTTCTTCATTAGGTAAAAATCTTAAAAGTGGTATTATAGTCTAGTCATACTTATGAAAGATTATTTCTAGTAATGTAAGATATGTTTTTGTACCTGCAATAGTATTGGTGTTTATAAGTCCTATGGAGTCCCATTATTTATTGGCTCATGGGAGAAAAACAACACAATGAAACCAATCTTAGAACTTAAACTCGGCATGCAGTAATGTTTCAGAAAAGCATGGCAAGTTCTCTTTTATCTCAATCTCTTAGGACCTCTCAAAGTCTGTTTATTTTTTCATTTTATTGAATTTAATTATTATAAAATGCCATCATGAAGATATTTTTGACTAGGACTAAATTTTTGTTGCTTTTAATAATATGTCAAGGACTCTTTTAGTGGTTTTGTATGAATTCTTCATAAATTAAAAATTCTATTTTATTCCTCTCAATTCTTGAGTTATACTAGTAGGATTTTTGTTTATACCTAGAATAAACATGTTAAATGTAACCTGCTATTGATATGCATTTGTATATTGAAAACACATACCAGAAAACTAATAACCACTGATCTTCTTTACCTAGCAAATGTGTTTGTTATGTTATGAAGATCTGATTCCTTGTAGTATTTTTATGTTATCATATACAATGACTATACCATGAAAACATAAATGATACATATTTTGTCTTGTGTATAATTTTATGCTATTTGAGTATCATATAACACTTTTTTGTCTTTGCTTGTCCTGGGGCTCGAAGGCTTATACTCCAGGCCTGGGCACTGTCTCTGAACTCCTTTATTTGCTCAAGGTTAGTGTTCTACCACTTGAGCCATAGCACCACTTCTGGCTTTTATGGTGATTAACTGGAAATAAGAGTCTCACAGACTTTACTTCCTGGACTGGCTTTGAGCCATGATCCTCAGATCTCAGCCTCCTATCTAGGATGTCAAGTGTGAGCCATTGGTGCCAAGCTCATATAATGTATGTCATCCTGTGCAAAGGTCATGCTAATCTTTGCTATATTGTTCCAATTTTAGTAAATGTGCTCTCAAAGTGAGCACTAAAGATACATTTTTTGTAACTTTGTGAAAATAAAAAGTAAAATATAGGTTTTTGCAAGATTCCTGAATAAAATCTTGCACTTAACAAAATTTAATGTACCCTTAACCTTCAAGATTTTTAATAGCTGTGACTGAAACATCTAACCCTGGCTCAGTAATCTGTTTCCATAATTATATACACTTCTGCACATATAAAAGTTTCTCTGCCCTTCAACTTGTCAGAGATAGCAATTTTATTACTTTTACATTATAAAATTAATAATCAGATTGAATCATTGACAGTGGTCGTATATAATCAATAATATCCGTGTTAACAGGTAACGGGTCATAGCAAATAACCTTGTAAACAAAGTAAACAATGTGAGCCAAATATTGTCACTTACCAGCTCTTCTTGAAGTTGGGAAATGAGTTCATCCCTCTCTTTCAGCTGTAACTTGAGCACTGAGCATTCATCTTTCATGATATCCTATAAAAACATCAAAGAGACAGCATAATAGGCTGAGCCCTTTCACTTCGTCTTTGACAAACAAAGTCAGCTTCCCATCATGGGAGATAATTGCAACTGACTAAGGAGCCTCAGATTTCTTCTATGATGTGGTAGCTTCCATACCATTTCAAAGTTTCAACAGAAAACAAATGTGTCCAAAAATATTACTATGTTGCACCTGATTACATGTATGTGCCTACATATACACGTAAGTATGTCATATTTTACACAATTGATTTTTTATTTTTTTATTTCTTAGGATTAAAAACCAAACAAGTCATTCTCAAGTCTCTCCTCTTATGTTTGTGCATATATAAACAATGGAATAATAGCAAGGATAGTCTAGAAGAGAGATTTTAGCCATTGTCTCCCTGCTGTAATTAGCTAGGAATTCTCAAACCAATAGTCATGTTAATCTCACCACCAATGATGTAATATTGGTAATACTGGTATTATTTGGCCCTTTCAACACAATCCTTGGCCTTTTAACAATCTTATTCTGTAAGGTGCAGTGACGCATGGCTTCTATGTACACAATCTGTGCACGTTTATCACCTCCACCCCTCCATGCTGGTAACTCAGATGCAAGGACGTCATCCTGAATCCTGTCTTCGAAGCTCCAGCTCACAAACCAATACCTCCTGCTCACTCAACACTGTGCCAAAAATTTATCAAATCCTCCCCGCCACTCTGAGGCTTGACTTCTACTCATTTGCAAAAGGATTCTTCTATCATCAGGAATTAGCCAATACTCTCAGTTCCTACCCGCTCTGAAACAAATCTGACACCATGTCTGTGTCCTCTACTTCCTTAGTATTTCTTGGAATTGATGTTCTCTATTCTTCATTAAATTACTGTGGAAATTCATCCCTTCTTACCCAAAGTACTACAGGAGTCTCTAAATTGGTTTGGCCTCACTCTATCACTTCCCTTATCAGTGGGAGTAATTTGTTTTTAAAACAGAATTAATACCATTCCTTCCTATTAAAACAGCTAATTCCTTTTTTCATGAAAATTTGAAACTCTTGGGCCTACGTGTAGTATGCCCTTCACCGTTTGTTACTAATTTTTTTTTTTTAGTTTCAGAGTTTATTTCCAATCAATCATTGCTTTCTGGAAACAAAGCTGAAATGTAGTATTGTTTTATGCACATGTAAATCATTGGATTTTACGACCTTCTCCCATTATAACCTATCTCCCACAGTATCTCATATTCTAAGGCAAATTCCAGGAAAAACTCTAACTATCCATTACTGAATGAATTATACATTCTTTTGTGAGCTAGGTGACATATAAAAGTGGCATATAAAAATTCAAGATAAAAATACACTTGGAAATGATAAATTATGCAGAACTCTAGCTATGCACACACTAAGACTGGAGGAGGATATTCTTAGGAGAGGATCAAAGGCTCAAGAGCTATGTACATATGATCATATAAAATGGAGTTTATCAAAATGAACTCCAAGAAATAGAAACAAGAAGTTTTTTGTTATTTGGGTTTTCCCCCTTTGTTGTTTTTTTAAAATTTCTGTACCTTTTGTTCTATATATAAGTTTATCTGTTTGGGGGAGTAAAGCGGGGAGCACCAAAATGCTGGGACAAAGGATGACAAATTCATCAGTGATACTCACTAGATACTATGATGAAAATGAACTATACAACTGGTTGGGGGGGGTTGGGAGAAGAAAAACTGGGAGAAAACCAGAGAAGAGGTGACACTGTTTTAAAAAATGTACTGATTACATGACTTATGCAACAATAACCCCTCTGTACATCACCTTTAGGATAGCAATTAAAAAAAAAAACTTTGGTGACATACAAAAATTCAAGTGCTCTTTCCTTGTTACCCAGCCTTACTGGAATACCTTTATTTTTTTATTTCTACTTCAATATACAGACTCTGCCTAATTAATACAAAGCATATTAACTGCCACAAATAAGATGCTGGAATTCCTATTTCCTTCCCTCAAAATTGCCAACTCAACATAAGCATTAGAGGAGGGAGCACTCATTTACTTTACAACTTAACTCTATCAGAGATGGCAAGGAAGAAAACTTCCGATTGGTCAGAGAAAATCAAATATTTATTCTAGCTCTCATAGTAATTTTGTGTCTTTTCCACAGAAACAGACAATGTGTACTTCTAACTTGTTAATGTCTCTTTGCCTTTGCTGATGACCAGTTGAAATGGGAGCATTCTGGTCATCTTTGCCTGAACTTTGTCCTTTGTAATTAAGTCCTACTTCCTACATGATAGATTTTTCATGAACAGTCTGTAACTATTGTTTTTTAAACTAATGTTTATCAGTTCTAGGTATTCCTCTTAAAATAAAAAGGTGTACCTGGCTCCATTTTGCAAAGAGAAAATCTGCTTTCTTAGCAGGAGGTGAGAAAATAACCATGCTTCTTAGGACCAGTGGGAGCTATGATCAGATCCTTGAACCTGTAAACAATTCGCTATGTGGCTCTGTACTAATTACTTAACTTCCTTCAACTCTTGGAAAATGTCTGTGGAGATCAATGACAACACCAGACTAAAACTCTGACAAAAGCTCTGTTGTATCTTACTGCCACGAAGGAGAAAACAAAGAAAATATGAAAGGAAAGGGGGAAGAATAAAGACTGAGTTGGAGTAGCAAGAAGAGGACCATGTTTTATTCTTGATCAATTCTCTGTCAGATAAACAAGTTGTGCTAGAAGCCTACTGGCTTATTCAAGAGATCTCAGTTTGAAAGAAAGCGGGTAGCCTCTTGATCTTCAGTGGCTCCAGTATCTCAGGAAGAGCCAGATCATCACCACCACCATAATTCTGCCACTGTTTCAGACCATGATCTTGGACTTCTGCTAGAAGTCTTGACAAACTCTAGATATCTAACACATGGAACTGGGTAGTTAACCCCAGGACTTACAGCTCAGCCATCAGCCCTTTCATGATATGGGATCTTAGACTCAACTACTATTTACTGTCATTGCTTTTTAAATTTTCTTTTCTTTTTTTTTTTTGCTGTTGGTGATTTCAACAGTACTTTTAATAATCATTTGTTAATCTATTATTTTAAATAAATGATTTGCCTATCTTGTCCTTAGTGGAAAGGATACAGGAATGGTTTATCCTCAGTATGCTTACTTTTAAAAAAATCTCAGACTTTATTGCTGGGGAAACTTGTCAAGAACTTCACAACTTCGTAACTTTCCATCAGGTAGCTGATTTTCATATATTTACAGAAGAATGACGAATATTAACTATTCATTGATGGCAAGCAAAGATGTTTTGCAAAAAAAAAGTCTTCCTTATAAATAGCTTTGAAAATCAATTTTAGTTACTCGACATTTTGTTTTCAGTTGTTTTATTTTCATGTGATAGTTTACTAAGTTTAACATGCAAAATCAAAGACTTTTAACAAAAGTTCCAGATAAAGTCTGGTGGGTATGTCTCTTTAATGTTCATATTTTACCTAAAAATTCTTAACATATTTGATGACCTATGAAGTTTGAAGTAATATTGATGTGGGAAGTAAAAGGATTTTAATGTTAGTGGACTTCAAAATATGACGATTCCATTAACCTCTATAAAAGTTTGATCCACTTGAACTTGTGCTTTTAAAAATGCACATTATTCCTAGATAGAAAAACAGAATTCCAGTATAAGATATTTTTTAGTTCTAAAATTGAATTGTATTATTTCCTGTTCCAAAAAGTATTCATTAATACCAAATTCAGTGTGGTGTAGACCAAAGATGATGTCTTTGCTACTATTTTTGTGGAATAGTGGAGTCCCATGCTTCTTTCATTCAGATCTAGAATGATCTTATTAACTTGTGCCATATAATTCTTCATGATTTTCAGGGACAGGCCAGGGTTTCTATTTCCATGGTGATCTAACAGACTGCTTCCTCTCAGGTTACTCCTACACAGAAGGAATACAGCCACCACCGTACAAAGCAGAGGTTACATAGCTATTCCATTGACAGCAATGTATAGATAGGCTCTCCCCCGCCCCCCCCCCCACAACATCAACAGCCAGCCACAAGAAGGCACCATCTTGACATTTAGCCTGTTTGGACTTCAGTTGACTCCATCCCCAACTCTTTCTTCACTCTGTCTAAGAAACCCAAGAGAATTCTTCTCTTACAAGATGCAAGGAAGGCCTGAGATTGTTCAACTGCCCTAAATTTTCTGGTAACACAGCTGAGGAGTTGGTCAGAAAGTTAGGGATTAAGGATGACTTTGTCTCACTTAGAGTCATCAAATAGTTTGATCCATACCTATCAGACCCTCAACTCAAAGACAACTAATTATCTTTCTTGCCAGCTTCCTTCCTGTTCATTTAACAGGCCAGGCATCAAGCAACTGAGAAAGGTGTCTATAACATTGAGTCTACGAATTCATTCAAATTATCTAGTCTACGGCTGGCTGTGAAATTGCCATGAATTTTATACTGCTGGCCATGAACAGGCTGCCCTGTGTAGGTTCTTTTAGTTTCTACGCTTTCCTGGTGCAGTCTTATACACGTTCTGTAGGAAAACCTTCTTCCCTTGAAGCTATAAAATACAGATCTGCCGTGCACAGTGGGATATGCCTAAGTGCTGTGACGTGCCACTGAAAGAATCTTTGAATCTCATTCTGCTGGCAGGAGCTGGTTTCTGGTGTGGGCAACCTTCTTCTATCCTCCTGGAATAAGGAAGTAAGCCAATTCTTGGGCAATTATTCTGCTTTTGGTCACAGGGATATACTCCGTGAATGACACTGGGCTCTGCATGGTAATTTAGATAATTTCTGTTTAAAATATAAAAAGAAAAAGAAGGGTGGGAGGAGAGCCATGTCCTCTTATTTTATCTGTTAATAAAAGAGTAAAAAATGAACCAGAGAGGAGATACTTTCCAGTACTGGCAGACTTTATAGAATGATGAGTTGTGCCTCTGATGTAGAATACAAAAAGAGTAATGCTTTAGAAGTGTTTCAAGGATTTTGACATA